AATATATATATATTTTGACGGTTTCTTATTGTTCGACAGGGTTCTTTTTGGATTGTTTGATAACAAGAAGAATGCAAAGTTCAGTCCACTTAGTAATATCAAATGTTTAATTTCTTTGGGGTACTTTTAGATAAGAACGCCAGAACGTCAATACAGGACCGCTATCAACTGTAGATTCAACAAAATATTTGCTGAGAAGTGATTCTATGTTCACTGTTTACTAACGTTAATAAAGAAAGAAAGTTTGACCACAAACGTACAGTCACAATAACAATTTATATATAAACAAACACAGTTAAAATGTATGCTTAACTGATCAAAAAGGACAGTTACTTTTACTGGAGAGTTAGTAATATATCTAGGCGTTCTCAAGTTCCAAACTGTATCTCTCCCAGATTGTATTCCAGACTGAATAAATCTCATGTTAACTACTTAAAACGTTAATGTCAGACTTAACCAAAGCAATCAGCACTACTGCCATGACGGGCCATTCCTCAATGAAATACAAGAGAGGTCATTAACTTTAGAGGTCACCTGAATACCTGTGAAAAAATATACCCACCTAACTTGAGTAACTTCACATACCATGAGTGACCCTGCAACTATCTTTCACACGGGAAGACTAGATATGTGAATCTAGACGAATGACACAGAAAAACGGGCAGCTGAAATGATACAAAGTTAACAACATTTTTGACCAATGTGGTGTGAAAACAGCACAAAATAAAATTTTTAAAATTTTATATTAATACAAGGAGATAGAAATTACGTAGTATATTTATATATGACATTTCTGTTATTTTGGATTATTTGACGAAAACAAGAATGCTAAATCCAGTCCACTTAATGATATCAAAAGTATTTATTTCTTCAATTTCTACAAGATAGCTTAACTAATCCTCTCAAATGGGCCAAGGTTCACAGAAGATGCCCCAATTTCACTTACATGCTCGCTTTTCCTGGACGTACTTTCAGAAACATATATACTCAAAATTTACAAAGCTGATCTGACCAACTGGCTACAGAAACAGAAAAAAAGATTAAATCATGTGGTAATTACTCATCAGTTGACTAAATCAATAATCCTATGTTCAGTGGCGTAGAGGAAGAAAAGTTTTTCTTCCCATCTGAGTTGTCAGGATTAAGTCTTTGAAGATTTTAAAATTACTCTACATTGTAACTCCAAGTGGCATAAAAAAAAATCATTTATTTTACGGATGGGGTAGTTGTGTAGCTTAACTGGAAGAAATGTATAACTTCTATCAAAAAGAGCCTAAGGTAATTTTGACTTTGTGATAATTACAAGGATCAATAAACGCTTCTTAAAGGGGGGAGCCCATTTATTTTGCATTTAACAACATCGGATCCCTATCTGATAATCTTCTGCCTTCCTTCCCCAAACTAACCCTTTACCCCTTCTGTTCCCACCCCTATAAACATCCTAGAAATGCCACTGCCTATACGCTAGTCTAACTCGCGCTTTATACTGCTCGACTTTTCAGATGTGTAGCCGTACTTTCATCACGTGACGTGAAACCTCCTTTTGGCCAAAGAACACTACAAATTTCTAAATTAAAATTATAGCCTACAACAACGTAAATATCTA